TTTTTCCGCTTGGGAAGCGCAAGTGTGCGCGAGTTTTTCTACGGCGCTTTTCTTTCGTTGGTGAGTTGGTTTTTCTTCTATTTTTAAGTTACTAAGGTGAATGGTGAGGAAACCTTCGTCCTAACAAAACATAAGCCCCAAACAAAAATAGAATAATAAGCAAAATAAAAGTAAATAAAAATAACGTTCGGACTTGGTTCCTTACACCATACCTTAAAAATAATTAATTCTATTCCGGGATTTCCCAGGATCCCGGGAAACAGTTCACTTTTATCCCGGGATCCCGGGACAAGCAAAAGATCGGGAAATGAGAAACCCTAGAAGCGAGGCAAGTCTCATTTCAAGCAAATCAGAGAGTTTAGGATTTGAAAAGGTAGTTTCAGCTAAAGTTATCAATTTAACAAATTGTACATGTATGGCCACACCAAAATGCCCATTTGGGTTCTTCGAGGCATATTCTTTAACCTCATCCAAGATGCTATAAGCATTCTTATGGAAGTTATACATAATGACGGGTTCCATTATAAAAGAAAAAAAAAGAGAAAACGGAAAATTTCGAAAAATTATAATTAAAATGAAAATTAATAGTCTAGTTGTCTTCCTTAAGACGTGACAATTCTAAAAATATATAATATGCCTAAGAAAAATTAAGTAAAACAAGAGAAATCGCGCGTTATTCAAAAACCAACTTCTAGAAGGTCATGATTGACCTCTCCATGGCAATGCCATAGAACTAAAAATTGATCAGTTGGAAAATTTAATGGAATCACCATAATTTAAATGTGACTGAAAATATCAAGATGAAATTTAGTAGTAATATGTCATTTAATGTTTTGTCCAAAAGTGTAAAATATTTTTCCAAGATTCACAACCAGAAGCCCATAATTAAACAACAAATTTTAACCGGAAATAGCTGATATTATCTAAGCTAATGGTCCAAACACCACAAAAATTGAGAGTTATACTTACAAATAAGATGCGAATTAGTTGAAGTAGAATTGTTTGGATTATCTGTCATATATTTTCCGAAGAAGCGATCCGAAGTTTCAAAATTTTTGGAAAGTTATAACTTGCGAAATAATTTTTGATTTCAACAAAAGTCACACCTTTAGATTCCTTGTTACTTCCCGTTACCAAAAATATATAACACTTACAGTGTAGAGCTTCTTTTCCGCAAATATCACAATGTAAAAACAGCAAAATACCAAGCAGCCACAATCTTTTTTTTTCGAACGCCCTCGAGTGTAAATACAGAAATTTACACTCGAGTGTAACAAAATCACTGCGTAAAACAAACAGAAATTAACACATGGGGGTCCCTTTTTACAGGATGGAGGTAGACAACCTCTCTGTTTGTCCCGACCGAAAGGGCTAACGAAAGCCCACAGCTAGTCCGAGAAATTAAGTTGATAGTTGATAGACACTTACAATTGCTGCAGCGGCTGGCTATATGGGTAGAGGCAGAACCCAAGACAGCCAATCTAGCTTGGCCAGTGGATCCACTGGCAAAGCTCAGGGACCGGTCTGCACCTATAGCGGGTCCCACAAAACAAAAAATAGATGAGAACAGACCAAACACTATCTCACAAACAACACTAACTATGACAAAATGGCGGCTGATGTCCTCTGATTTCCTCACAGCCGAGGAAGCCAAGATGGCTGGCTCAGAAACCACAAATATTAAAAATAAAATATGGCAAAAAAGTTAGGCTTAGCTACCCTAAGCCTAACCACACGGCTAACCCTAGTATAAGCCTAACTCCCTATCCAAATACACTAGGATGAGCCAGCTAGGCCTAAATATAGGGTTAACAACAAGAGCTGAGAGAATAACCAACCTATTTGTCTGGTGTCCCAACTCAGAGTCACCTTTATTGAGAGACAACTGCAAACCTCCCTAAATCTCATAGACCAGCGCTGTCCAACTTATAGCTCACAGGCAATATTTTCTTCACCAAACATTTCGGGGGCCAAGAAGGTTGATAAATGAAGTCAGTTTATGTTAATTAAAAAAACATTTTATTTATACTAAAAAGAAAACTTTAAAATATTCGTAATATATTAATGAGAACATTGTGGCCGTAATTGTTTAGCAACAATATCTTTTATGTCCACATCAATATTTGTTGTGGCAAGTCTAATTATATCTTCAAGAGTGGAATCTTTCAAACTGTTTCTATATTTTGACTTTATATATTTCATATCGGAGTATGCATGCTCGCAGATATATGTACTTCCAAACATTGATACAATTTGAAGTCCAAAATCTCTCAATTTTGGATATTTCTCTTTATCTAAATATTTGAATATTTCTATTCCAGTTACTCCATGAGATGTAAAGAATGGGTCTGCCTGCAGGTCGCATAATTCTATTTGATATTTAAGATCAATGGAGTTGATATTAATATTAATTGGATCAAAAAATAAATCAATAGACGGTTTAAGATCATCAAATTGAGAAAATTTTTCATTGAAATTTGTAATTAGCATATTCAGTTTTGGTAGAAATATTTTAAAATTCGCTACTATATTACATTCTTTCATTTCTTCATAGATCTCTTTGCAAGATTCAAAATGAAATATTCTGCTTCAAATTAAACCTTAACAATTTTAATTTGTTTCTAAATCCAGTAACATATTTATAAAGGCAACACACATTTTGATCTTGTCCTTGCAAGGATTTATTAAAAATATTTAAATAATTTGTAATGTCCATTAGGAAATCAAGTGAATAAATAAAATTTTTATCAACTAAATTTGCTGTCAAAATTTTCATTGACGGCAATTTCTGTGAGAAAAAGATGAACTTCTTTTCGAAGTGTAAAGAATCTCCTCAAGCACTTTTCAGCACTTAACCAACGAATGTTACTATGTAAAAGCAGATTTTCATACTCAGTTTCCAATTTATCCAAAAATGTTTTAAATTTTCGGTGTGTAAGAGAACGATTTCCGCTGCAAATTAAATTAGTAATTTTGCACACCTTGTCCATTACGTCTTTTAGTTGTAGGGATACACCACATAATGCCTCCTGATGGATAATACAGTGTAACATACGACATGTTATTCCTTCTTTTTGCAAAAGTCCCGCAAGCCCGATATTTTTGCCCGTCATAGCTCTAGCACCGTCGCAACACTAGCGCGTACAATAGCAGTGCACATGTCAAATTCGCCATACTGCTCTACTGCACATTTTAATTGTTTGTAAATATCTTCACCTTTTGTTGTTTTGTGTAATGATTGTAATTTTAAAAGTTCTTCTGAATAATTATAGTTTTCATTTACAGTTCTTATAAAGATAAGCATTTGACTTGTATCAGAAATGTCTGTGCTTTCATCCAATGCTACCGAAAAATAGCAGCAACTATTGATTAGGTTTTCTAATTTATTAGTGACATGCATGCTAATCTCGTTTACACGTCCGCTTACAGTCTGGTGAGAAAGTGATACTGTTTGAAATTTTCTTACCATTTCGTTGTCATTAAATGCTTGAGCTATTTTTATGGCACATTTTTTAATTAATTTTCCATCCAAAAATGGCTTCTTTGCCTTTACTATTTCTAAACAAACTTCAAACGATGCAGCTACAGATGCTTCTTGAAATTTTGGTTCTTGATTAAAATAATTCGTTTGATGATCCAGCTGCTTTTTCATTTTTTTCACTAGTGGTATTTTCATGTCTCGCGTGTACGGATGATACTTTTTTTCATGCATGGAAAGATAATGGCGCTTCAAGTTATATTCTTTACACACAGCTATGATTTCTAAACGTTCCAAACACTGTGGTTTACCATTCTGGTTTAGAATAAATAAATAATCTATTTCCCAGCGATCTTGAAATTCTCGATTTTCGAGGTCTATTTTTGTTTTATTAGTAGCACTCATATTCAATAATNTATTACATATACTATTCGGGCTTTAAGTTGTTGTTATTTATATATATTTTTGATATTAATAATTATTGAATATTTTTCCAAGATCATATGGTGGTGTTTAGTCTCAACACAAAATGTAATGAATTTAATATTTAACTGTTCACTTAAAAATGAGAATTATGTGAATTTTATAGAAATCTAATCAAAGAAAAATGTAACAGGAAATGAGACACTCAGTCTAAAAGATGTGTATACTCAGTTTCTGTACATATTAAAGCAAATGGGAATGACAATTTTAAGTTGATATGACCCTAAGTACTACTTTGTTTATGTAATATAAGGTACTTAATGTTTCCAAAATTATTACAGTACCTGCTATTTCCTGTGTTGTTTCATTAAGTAGTGGGTTATGTCCAAGTGTGCAATCATAACCATAATGAAGTTTGATGTAAGTTACTTGTACATTATTTCTTTCTTCTAGCACAGCGATTCCCAACCTGTGGTACGCGTACCCGTAGGGGTACGCGATAGGTTGTTTAAGGGTACAGAAAAAAGTTAGTCATTATGGCAGAAAAAATAATATACATATTATGTATCACAAACTAATAGTATTAAAAAATTATTAGGTAAAATTTGTTCCTTGCAACAATCACAACATTATTATACATTTTTTCATTTACTTTTTTTCTTTAATTTAAAGTTACAATATGTAAAATTAACAATACGGGTACTCACTAAATTTTTTAAATGAGGGGTACAATCTAGAGATATGACATGTCACGGGGTACGCTAATGAAAAAAGGTTGGGAACCGCTGTACTAGCACATTCATTGCTGAGATGCAGTGATCTTGAATCTTACAGGATTCTAGACATCTGTTAGGTCGTTTACTCTGTAGCTTTTCATATAGTTTTCTTCCAGTCCTGTTATATATTTAGTTCTATTTTTCTGTTATATATTTAGTTCTATTATAGTTAGTTCTATTATAGTTATATATTTAGTTCTATTATATATTTAGTTATATATTTAGTCCTGTTATATAATAGAAATAATATTTGATTTCTCCTGTTGATTTTTTTGTGCAAGGCCCACAAGGTGCAGAATATTTAGAGTTGGTTCTTAATTTCTCTGTCACTTTCCATTCATAGAAATCTGTCAAATACATAATACTTTTATTTACTACTGAATGAGCTGTTAACATTCATGAAAATTATTATTTTTAGACATATTAATTAAATACAGCATTTTTAAGATTTCAGAACAGAATTTACTTATCCTTCATATTTTTGAATTCAAGCTTCTCAACTTCACAGGCAAATCCATTGCTTTCTCCAAATGTTCTCATAACTGATGAGAAGTAAAAAAATCCTTCAGAACATGAGGTCTCGTGACAGAATATAGTCTTTTTTTCCACAATGACTTGCTTACGAACTAATCTTACATGCTTGTTAATATTTCCTTTTGAGGAGAAGGGCTTATAGCAATAATAACAAGAATTTTCTATGTCATTGAATGCAGTAATATTCTCCATAGCGATTTTTTAGCAACAACTGTAGTAAGAATACTTCAAAACCAATGATAAGGGATGAGTTTAAAACTAAAATATTGACAAAAGAAAATTCCAAAGACACCGTACAGTATTAGGTATAGGCAATCTGAATGTCACGATACTAGTGGCATCTCGTGGTAAAATCCAGAACTTTGATTGCCGAATTTTGAAATGCCGATTTTTATAAAAAACTTTCTGCAGAATCGAAGATTTCAAGTTAGGATGGGCAACACTTTGTCTAGGCCTTTCACGCAACAAGAAGGTGTTCCTCAAGGCTCTATTTTGAGTGTTACTCTGTTTCTAATTAAAATTAATAGCATAGCTAACTGTCTTCCCCCTAGTGTGAAGCACTCTTGGTATGTGGATGACTTTTAGTTCTGCCAGTCTAGCAACATGAGTTTTATTGAGAAACAACTACAAACCTCCCTAAATCGTATAGACCATTGGTCCAAGACTAATGGTTTTAGTTTTAACATGGAGAAGACTTTGTGCATCCACTTTTGTCGAAGGCGTGGTTTTTATTTGGATCCGGAAATTTACCTAAACGGGGTTAAAATCCCAATAGTGAATGAGATTAAGTATTTGGGTGTTTATTTTGACAAAAACTGACATTTTTGCTACACTTGCGCAACCTGAAGAGTAGATGTTTAAAATCTCTAAACCTTTTAAAGGTACTATGCTGCTCATCCTGGGGAGCAGACAAAGTTTCGATGCTCAGGATTTATAGGGCCCTTGTCCGCTCTAAGCTGGACTACGGTTGCATTGTTTATGGCACTGCGCGAGAATTTACTCTTCGGATGCTGGATCCAATCCACCATCAAGCTTTGCGTTTGTGCACCGGTGCATTTCGAATTTCCCCTGTCCAAAGTTTGTATGTGGATGCTTATGAGCTTCCACTATCTCTTAGGAGAGAACAGTTGTCTCTATTTTATTACATTAAACAAAAATTTCAGAAAAAACTTACAGCTGATTGTTCAGATACTCAGCTGAAAAGGTTATTTGAAGCTTGCCAAAGTAGTGTCCCTACATTCAACATAATAATGGAGAATGTAAGCAGCACGATTGACATTAACCCAAGCAACATCTCACATGTTGAGGTGAATAGTATTCCACCTTGGTCAACTCCTGCGATAAATGTTGATTTAAGCTTAAAGCAGTTCCCCAAAGAAACCACGCCAGATTACGTCTATAGACAGCACTTCGGAGAAATTCAACATCGTGACAGGAATATAATTCCAATATACACTGATGGATCTAAATCTGATAACTATGTTGGCTTAGCCTTTGTTTGCCAGGATGAAATTGTGGCAGAACAAATAGCATCGAATTCTTCCATCTTTTCTGTGGAGTTGCAGGCTATACAGTATATTTAGCCTTAAAGTATATAAATCAGAAAGGTCATCGTTGCTGCGTGATTTACGCTGACTCAGTTAGTGCACTTCAGGCTTTGATCTCGTATGAATGTAGTTCTCACTCCATAGTTATTAAAATTCGAAAACTAATTAGTCATCTCACTACAAGAAATTTGTTTGTGAAGTTCTGTTGGGTCCAGGCCACGTGGGTATAAGAGGTAATGAAGAAGCTGATACAGCTGCTAAGTCAGCAAGTTCTTCATAGCATACAATGCGTATTGAAGGAGGTGATTTGAAGCTAGTCGTTAAAAAACAACTAGCAGAGAGATGGCAAATCATGTGGAATGCACAAATCCACAATAAACTTCACGAGATCAAACCTTTGGTAGAAAATTGGACACATAATAGGCAGTATGATATGTGATGTGAGGTTGTCCTTACTCGTTTGAGAATTGGACACACTCGACTGACTCATCAATACCTTTTGAAGGGAGATGACGAACCAGTATGTCAGCACTGCAAGTGTACTGTAAGTGTTAAACGCATATTTTGCAACTGTGTTGTTTTTGATCAGAGTTATAGACAGCATTTCGGAAATGCAAGCTTTAGAGACATTTTGGGCCAGAGGCCAAATCTGGTTAATATATTGGACTTTCTAAAAGTCATTAATATGTATAGGGAAATCTGATGATTTATTTATTGTACAGTTTTATTTACTTTGAGTTGCATATCTAAATTATTGTATATATTTTTTGTTGTTGTTTATTTATTCATTTATTATATTATAGATTTTATATTTATATTACTATTGGCTTTTTAATGGTTAAACTGTGATGTTTTGTTTATGTGTATATATGTTTCCCTATTTATTTTCTACCTTCAATTGTATCATGTGTCGTGGCACAGTATAGCCTGCATGGCTTTTGTGTCAATAAAAATTAACCAACCAATTAACCATCCAGCTTAGTGGAATTAGACGAGAGCTCACTACATGACCTCACTTATAGGCTGATTGCCAACAACTGACACTTCCTGCAGGCGGGAAAAAATTCAGGGCTGTGCATGACTGTCGTTTCCACAACTCCACTGAAGGAGGCCTCTCGCGCATCATTGGTTTACACGGAAACAAAAAGGTCCGATATTTTATGAACAGACCTGGTATATGTAAGTGAGAAGGCTTTTACTTTGTTTGTATAAGCCTATGTACGGCTTCACTATTTCTACATTCTTTATTTTTACTATATATTAAGAGAACTTCTTTTGTGGTAGATGACTTATGCACAGCTTGATTTCCTCCAATGGCCTTTTCAGATTTCACAACTGTGCTATAAAGAGGTTGAGAAGTGAAAAATTGTTGCGCTTTGTGTTCAATCTTGTTAAGTTATTTAAGCATAGCCTTCCTGGTAACAAGGTGGTCACTATTATTAATATGTTGCGACATTTTACCTTCAATATCATTTAGCTTCTTTAATATATCTTTCTGAGAATTATTAATTATCTTTACAGGTACACTCTGAACAATTTCATGTACAATTGTGTCAAGTTTTCCTAGATTTTTAATTTTTTCAGACAAGAGTCTTGGACCATCTAATATATTTTCTAAATTAGCAGCCTTTCTGAAGTCGTCCTTGGTTGGAAGCGAGTAGGGTTTTTCAAACGGGATCCCGGGATTCCAGTTGTTTTTTTAACCCGGGAAATTTTTCTTATCTTGGGAAATCTTGCAAATTTCTTAAAAATTCAGTTTTTTCTTATTTTGTGTTAAGGTTGAGGAATTTTTCAAATAGAAAGCATAATTAACTCATCCACTGTCAAAATACATTTGTATTTATTAATTTTAAACCTACTTATTAGTTTTTTGTTAAATTTTTGCTCGTTATAGCATGTCACAAATGGTCAATAATCAATATATAGCTTATTTGTGGCAGGACTATAAAAATTTTTTACTTGTCGGAACCTGTAATATCTGGAATAATTGTGCTTACGCTGTCTTGAGTTTTAACCATGCCCAGTAGCTTCAATAAATGCCTGACGCCAGATTGTGCAAATTGGGCAAGGATACAAACGAGTACAAAGTCTGCAAGTATGAAGTTTTTCTTCATAAACCTGATTATTAAAGCCAAATGAATTGCCGAATTATCGA